CAGCCCACTGTTGAGAGAAACCCTATCCTAGGACTCAGCGTGGCCATCTTGGAGCCTCTGGTTTGACACCCTTTGGGCCACTTTAGGCGGCAGGACGTTGGGGTTGCGTTTGTGCATTAGCACTTCCAACAGTCTGGGCCAGATTCATTCTCTTCCTTTTCCCCTCCTCCCCTTTTCACTCCAAGTTAGCACTCATCCCTTTCTGCTCCGTTGCACAACTCTGGAAGAGGAACTGGGTTTCTCAGGACCATCTTTCTCCTGGGAACTTAAGGCGCCAGTCCTGAGAAGTCAGAGAGATGATACTCATGGTTCTTGGGGGCATTATTTTTTCCTCCCCAGGGCCAGCCCAGCACTGCAGCTTTGCGAACTCCTGGGGCTTAGAGCAAGGAGTGGAGGGTATCCGGGAGGAGAAGGCGGCCTCATACACCTGCCGCCCCGGGGCGCCACGAGCCTCCACCTGGGACCCGCTGCAGCCAGAACACCACAAGACCTGGGAACTTCCGCCGGTTCCTCACCCGCCTCCTTGTCCCCCAGGGAGTGCGAGCTGTAGAGCAGTGGAGACATCTGTAAGTGAGGGCCAAGCACCGACACGCACAACTTTGCAAAGTCAATTTAACCAGCGAGCTTTTTACCCACTTTATTCCCTCCCTCATTTTTGATTTCAATATTGATAACATGCCCACCGTTTCACATCTTTATGGTAATAGTGGCAAATGAATTCATTTAACGACTTGGGGGCCGGGCGGGAGCGTTTCAAGCGTTCAGCGGAGGATAACTTCCCAGGGCAACTTCTCCCTAGGACCCTCCCACATCCCCTCTTAATGGTGGGACTTTTCATAATGTGCACAATACTATTAAAATTTCATATTAGCAGTGTGTATGGTGAACTTTGTAATGGGAAATTCAATAGCTGCTGTAAATATTAATGGAATATGAAATGAAGCCACAGCCTCAACCAGCCCTGACAGTAAAACGGAGTGAGCATGTGGCGGCCCCGGGGCGAGAGAGGCCTTTCCTCTTGTCGCTCTCGCTTTATTACATTAGCGCGGGCCTCCCCGCGCCGGCGTGGGCTCAGAAGCCGAGGCGCCGGGTCACCCATGACAAATGTCCCCGTGTCTCGCCAACCGGCCCCGCCTGGCCCTGCCACTCCATCTGCCCAACAGGTCCCTGGAGAGTGCTTGCGGGTGTCAGTTTCAGGTAAAGAGCTCTTGAAAGCGCAAAGTCTCCAAAAAGGTTAGAAGGATTCCAGAGCCTTCTCCTGGAGTCTCCGAGGCCCCGGTCGCCGCCACCGCCAGCGGAATCCGCACCCGGGGGTGGGGGGGGGAGGGGGGGAACCCCAAGCGAGTTTCTGGGATTGAAAGCGCTATTAGGGCAGCGGGATACCTCCTCCCTTCCCTCCCTCCCTCCCTCACCTGGATCCCTCCCCGCCTGCCTCCCTTCCAGAAGACCGGGCCTCGGAATTGGACGTGGGGCTGGCTGGGTCGGGCGTCCGATCAGGGACGGGGTGGGAGGGGCTCCAGGCCGGTTGTCCCGTCCGGGCTCGGTGCGGGGTCTCGATCGGTCGCCTTCTGCGCCTACGAGGCCGGGGCCGCCCGGGCGAGGCTGCGTGCGACATGGGGGGGAGGGGGAGAGGCGGTTCGCGGGGACCTAAGTCGCTCGGACCCCAGGCCCCTGGGTCTCCAGAGCAGCCCCTCGCCGGCGCGAATCTTCGGGAACCCGGAGGGGAGGGCGTGCGTGACCGAGGGAGGAGCAGCGCGGGCGGCGGCCACTGACGCCAGGATTGGATTGGCTCCGAGCTCCGGTCGCCGCCGAGGAGGGTCCGGGGCCGCCCGACGCGCTGACAAACTTGGCCGTCAACACCTCAAGCTGCCCGGGCGGGTTATTTCAACAGGCTGGGGAAGATCGGCATTTTGAGTGGCAGGCGACACCTTTCCTCACTGCCAGTATTTCTGCTGCCGCGACGGCACTTAGGGGAGCTTAGTTTTAGATGGGACATGAATCTTCACTTGTTAAGAGATAGCCCGTCAGCATTTACCCGGGGCTCTCCCCAGCCCGGCAGCCGCGGCCCTCCCCGGTGCTCGGCCACTCCCCAGCGGGCCCCGCCACAGGAGCGCTCCGTGTCGCAGGTCCACGCGCGACAGCCCGGAGGCCCCCAGGGTGAACTTGGGGCCGAGCGAACGTGTGGCAGAGGCCGGGCGCCAGCCGGAGGTGAAAGTCCACATCGACTTCAATTACAGCCCAGCCTGGGCCGGCGCTCCAGAGGGTCCTGGCACCCCCCCCCCCGGGCGCTTTCACCTGTTTGCAGGCGGGGAGCGTGGACTCCCTCCTCGGGGACAGGCTTTTCCTGAAGCCACGAAGCACACGCGCGCTTGCCCCCGCGCTTGCCCCCTAACTCAAGGCAATTGTCTTCCTCTTTCCCGAGTCCTGACCACCCCCCCAAGTTTCACCCGCGTGAAGTCACCCACGGTCTCCCCTTTCCCACCAGCTCTATATTGCGGTCACTTTTCTAAATTCACTGGAGCCCCCCGCCTTTTGAAATGATTTCCTGTCCAGCACCCCCCCTTTCACGCCGCCCCCCTCAATAAATCCGGAATAGTTTTCCCGCCTCTGCTCCAGATGCAGGCAAACTGCTGAGCTGAAATGAGCTGAAAAGGAGAACGGAATTGAAAGAACATGGGTTTGCTTTTGCATGACTTCCCTGCAGGAGTAGTTGCAACAGGGTGTTTAGGTTTTCGAGATCCGTGGCAAAGCTTCAGGTGTGGTTTGCCTTCTCACGGACCCTCTGGCCGGTTTCTCCACCCCCGAGGCTGCTATTCGTCCACCCCCTGGGTAGACAGCTGTGACTCCCTGTTTCTTTGGCCCCATTAAATCCCCTTCGTCCACCTGAGATCGCGCAACTTCTTCCCCGTGCCCTTTAAAAGAGTTACACTTTGGAAGAAGACTTAAAAAAAAAAAAAAAAAAGGACAAGAAATGGATATAGGTTTTGTAAGTGTTAAATAACTTTCCCAGCGTGTATTAAAGGAAGATTGTATTTTATCAACAGCTGATTGATGCAGCCGTGTGATCCTGTCGGTTTGTCTATAGTATCATATTTATTTAACCTGCTGAGGGACTGTGTTCGGGGGCAGCCTGCTCATGCTGACAAGAGCATGCACATTACACACTACCCCAGGTATTTTGATTGATTGTTCCCACCCCAAAGCCTTTGGTTCATAATTTAGCACAGCAGGTTCTGCATCACAGACTAGGTTTCAAAAAAAAAAAAATCCTGTAAGAGATTTCAATGAACAACCACTGCCAAGAAACCTTTCTCCACCTGCAACCCCCAAATATTTTAAATACCTCCTGAGATGGTTCAGTTTGTATAGTTACAGGGCACGCCACCTTTATTTACCCTGGTTCCCCCAGTGTAATCAGATTATTCATTTTAATGTGTGGCTGGACTAACATTTCCTTAACTGGGGGGATGGCTTGGTGGTGGGAGGTGTTGGTGGTGAAAATGTCAAAGAGTGTGGGCTTCTCTTTTTCTTCTCCTTTGCCCTCTTTCAATAACAGGTTTGGGATGTGGAAGCAGGAGAAAGGCAGACAAAATGTGTTTTTTTTTTTTTTTTTTTTTTTTTTTTTTTACAGATGGTCTCCTGAAGTTGTGTTGGGAATTAGGTCCTGAAGTCCTTTGGCAGCAGATTTTACTAGTCTTCAATGACTGCCCCCCCCCCAGACAACCCACCCCGTGGGTGAGGAAAGATTTTTTCCCCACAAGTATAAACTGTTCATGAACTTCCCTAATATTTGGGTCTTTTCAAGTAAATGATTCGAATAATCTGGCCACATCCTAGTGGTTCTGAAATTTGCTCTACCTACTGAAGGACCAATGAATAATTACTTCCTATGAGATTTCTGGAAGAAAGGAACTTTCTCCTTGACTTTTTAAAAACTAACACCAACCGAGTACAACTGGGTATGTGTACTGACTCACTTTGCTTGAAAAATATTTCCAAAATGAAACACATTTTTCTGTGCATCTTCTTGGATTACTCTTAATCTGGTTAGCAATGGTTTTGTGTGTGTGTGTGTGTGTGTGTGTGTGTGTAAAGGTAAAGTTTCAGATGTGTGCTATTTTTCAGTAATAGAGGTACTGTTGTTTATTGTGTTTGGTACTTTTACACTTGTCCTTTACAAACTCTTGGGAGGACTCATGAAGCCCACAAAGGCAATCCTAGCACTATTATGTATCTCTGTCCATCAGAGTTTCATTTTGTCACTCTAGATCAGATGGGAAGGTCATTACCAGTGTGGTTAATTGCATAAGGATATAATGTTGCACCAGAGGGTGAGGATTCATAGCATTTTAAAAAGATGTGAAGGGTGCCTGGGTGGCTCAGATGGTTGAGCGTCTGCCTTCGGCTCAGGTCATGATCCCGGAGTCCTGGGATCGAGTCCCGCATCGGGCTCCCTGCTCCTCGGGAGCCTGCTTCTCCCTCTGCCTCTCTCTCTCTCATGAATAAATAAATAAAAATCTTTAAAAAAATAAAAATAAAAAGATGTGAAGTGCATAATTACTCCCCTCCCCCCACAATAAGTCAGCACATCTAAAGTAGTTATTTTTCTCATCAGCTCTTAGATTAACATTGCAGGAGAAAAAATCTTGTATACCCCAGTGATGGCAGCAATGGCAACATTTGTAGTTAAAACTTCTCCCTCTTTCATCCATTCATCCACTCATTCATTCATTTCCCCTCCTTCTTTAGTGTTGTTATTCACAAAAATGCATCTTTGGGCTTGATTGTGTACTTTATAATGATGGTAAGGAGATTAATCAAGTGTGATCTATACTCTGCATTCCAGCTAATATTTTAAGTGTCCCTTATATCTGGGGCAGGTTTGGGAGACTCCAATGTTATACCATATTTCCTGATAAAATCATGTTCAGCAATTTTTTTTAATCCCTTGATATTGCTATTTATCCCTAGATGGTGTTCAATGACAAAAGCCAAATTATTTGCAGAACTCCAGGACATGCATCTTTCTGCTGAGAAAACCAGTCATTATCAAAAGTAAGTACAGACACAATACCCACGGAAAAAGTGAAAGGTAGGCTGACAAAGGAAATATTTACCTATGACAGAGTGTCAACCAAGGGGGACTAAGGCAAATCAAGCAAGGTGAAGAAAAGGCCAATTTGCAGCGAACGAAATCTACACATTTTAATTAGTTGAGCTAAGGAGTTTTGAGACGCCGTGTGAATCAATTTGCAGCCGTTTTCCAAAATGTGTTACAAATCACCAGTTTGCTTTGAAAATAAACCTTTTAAAAACCATCCACCACCAAGTTTCTTGAATAGAATACAATGTATATTACCCCTAATAATGAAAAAAAAATACTTCTACATGTTGTCTCCTGGGGAGACAAATAAATTGGGTGGGACCCCATTTCTTTTCAGGGGGAGCACTTTTATCCTATTTCATATGTATTCACACACAGACACATCTACAAAGGAACTTCTTTGAAGTTCCGCCACTACTTAGCTCTGCAGCCCTGGGCAAGTTAGGTAATTTCTCTGTCCCTTGGTTTCCTCATCTAGTGAAGTTATAATAGTGTCTGCTTCAGGGGTTGCTATGAGGAGTGAGTTAACACATGAAGCTCTTAAAGCCGTGTCTGCTGTATATTTACTACTAGATTGGCATCTGCTATTATCATATACACATTGGGGTCTCATTAATTTTATTATTGACAACAGTGCTTTTAGTTACGATCATCCAGTATGTTGTGCCTAGACTCCACAACTTCAACTCTAAATATTAAGGCATTGCAACTCAAACTCGGGCTGTGCTGAGCGCAAAACTGCCCTTGGGGCAAAGTGATTACGGTCCTTGTCCCTGTCTCCTGAGGCCCCAGATGCACTAAGTTGCTGGCTTTGTAAACAAAGTAAAATGCAGCTCCAGGGCGTGGTTAGCAGCCACTGAACTGTTTGTACATCAAATCACAGGGAAACTCCACTAAGAGCCTATAAGAAGGCAAACAGCTATGTGTCTGACTTCTCAGTCACTCGTTTGGTAAGGATGCCGACACACCCCATTCTCATTTTACCTGATGTGCCTAAGTCCTTCGTGGCATATTTTAACATTCTTTGGGTTTTAGGATATTCTTTTTGTTTGTGGTAGGCACTATCCTCTACTAAGCTGTTTGAGTTGAAATTTAGTTTTAATAGAAAGGGACGTTTCCTCATATGTTAGAATGTTGATTAAAAACTAGGATCTTGATGTGAAAAGGAAAGAAAGAAATAACATATCATTTCAGAGTTTGATTTTTTTCACATGTTGAATTTTGAAATTAAGACAAAGCCTGTTTCAGTGGGGAATAAAACCAGCATTACCTCAACTATGGAATATCTTTCTTTATGTTTTTAAGTTGCTCTATTGCCTTTCCAGATAGTAACTCAAGATCTGAGCTAAGTGAAACCAGAGTCCTTGAAAGGCGGCTATCTTCGGTTCCCCCCTGCCCAAAGCCCTCCCACTCACTCTACATGGATACAGATATGACTTGCTTTTGTTACAGTTAGATCACAGAACCTCAGGTACGAATAGTTTTCATTTTATGTCACTTCCCAACGAAATCTTGCAAACAAGCCCAGACAGGAGCCGGTGTTTTCCTACACATGTTAACATTGACCTTGCCACTTTGAACCACACCCCTCATCTCTTTAAATCAGCATTCCACATCCTACTCACATCTTTTCTTTTCAACCTGCTCCATGGTGTAAGACAGTCTGTTTCCACTCTGCACATATGCCAGAAATGTGTAAAGACCTGAGAAGCTGGACTTTGGGTGAGGTTAGGATGCAGAAAAACAAGCATTGTACTTTGCTCATGTGCTAAAATGTTGGGAAAGATTGCTAAAATATGTCCTCCTACATATTATCTGTCATTGCTCTATTTGCTAAGAGAAGAAAGTCTCATATGTTTCAAATCAGCTTCAGGGTTAGGTATTTTCTCACTTTTAATTAAGTTACTCTTTTAGATCAGGGAAAGGTAACTTTAGTGAAATATACATAACTTCCTATGTGTCTTTTTTGGTTGTTTTGGAGGCTTGGAAGGGCTCTTTGACTTTCTCATATTTGGACAAACAATAACTTCAAAGTTGCCTATGATGTACTAAACAAAGATATGAGAACTCCCCCAGATATGACGAAGTTGTTTCCTGTATGTAAATGTTGAGATTTAAAGAAATATCATGATTCCCCTTTAACTCACATATAAATTCTTTTTTTGAATGCTGCTCCCTTTGAGATTTGCACATAGTTAAACCAGTTTACACAGTTCTTTTTTCCTCCTTCCTTTTAAGTATGGCTCTTAAGTAAGCAGACACTTTAACTTGCCTTCTTATTAGACAGCTTTTCTTTATTGCTTTTTCATAGCACAGCTATCAAAAATGAGATAATGTGCAAAATCTGGAACCTAATCAGCTTTCTAGCTGAGTTTAAAGAGTCCAGAGGCTGTTTAAAGGTAGCTCTGGTTATGTGTGAGGGCCTACTGCAGTGTTTGCTCTGCCACATTTTGATGGAGAGGGTAATGTGTTTGCTAGATAAGGCAAAAGGGACTAGCCAAAAAAGCAAGGCTCTGTTTGATAAACCCTGACATAGTTAGCCATTTTTCTCCCACATGAAAGGAAACTTTAAAACTCCAAGGAAAATAGAGGTGTCCACTCAAGCACACTAATGTTTATCGAGACAAAAAAAGTAAATAAAGAAAATTGGCATCTTTTAGTCTATTAAATTAATTAGCTCTAGGGCTTATCATAAAATTGAAAAGCTAGATAAAATACAAGTCTATTTCTTGTTGTTGTTATTTGATGTGAAAGGTGAGTTATTTACGTCAGTGTACATTGAAAAGACAGTTATTTTGTTTGGCTCGTCTTGCTCTGGTAGAAGACTTGAGCTCTATATGAAGGAGCTCATAAGCCAAAGTTACACTTTTATAATGCCGATCAGCATGGACTTGGGATGAGAACTCAATCTGAAATTACTGTTAAACATACATGATGACATTCTTTGTTAAGTGATCTATAGCCTGAAAACAAATTTATAAAGCCAGAATAAAAATATGCCCCCTGACATCTACTCATAATTAGAGGTCAGTTCTAAAAATCCAATTAAATAAGTTCATACATAAAGATGTTTTAAAATAAAATGGCTTTACAATCTAGAATGATGTGAAAGTGCTGGAGGTGAACTATTGATTATCTTATAATAATTTTCCTTTTCTAGAAAAAGTAAAGGAACAAAATATCAGCAATCTTTACAAAATAGAGCTGTCTCTCAAAATAAGAATTTAAATGATAAAAAAATTTAAATGATGTAAGTATGAAGATCATTTGGGGCTCAAGTTTTATAGTGTGATCACTTTCAGTTAATTTAGAAGGAAATATCAATCCTAGATCAATAGCTTAGTCAAATTTTCTACTTTTTTTCTTTAGAAAAGATACTTCTCTGATTTCTTATTTTTCTAAATCACAAGTATTTGATAAACCAACAAAGTGGCCTCAGAAGATTAGTTCACCTATAGGACATTTTATTTTATTTATTTTTTAGATTGTATTTTTTTAAAGTCATCTCCACACCCAAAGAGGGGCTCGAACTCACAACCCCGAGATCAAGAGTTGCACGCTCCACAGACTGAGCCAGTCAGGCGCCCCTATAGAACATTTTAAAATATAATCACGTGAATCTTTAGAACTGTGTTTCTTTTATATATTAATCATTTTAAACATTTTTCATGGCTCCGTGTTAATAATCTATATGAGTGTAGATTTTTAGATGAATTTAATGTCAACTAGGGATTAATGTGAATTAATTAAATTGACTGTATCTTCTTTAATGAGAAAAAAAGGATTTAGTTTTAATACTGATGATCTTAATAAAGCTTCTCTCTACTTATCTGTATTTTCTCAACATTAGGAATTATTTTTATTAGAAGGTGAATTAATTTAATAACGGCAGAGTGGCAAAGCTTGAAACAACTCAGCGATTGCAAACTGACTTTGCTATTGTTCTTGAAGCTGCCAAGTAACTTTATACCAAGTAACTTTCAGTTAGAAAAGACTCAATTTGCTGAAGCTGTTTAGAAATAAAAACATACATTGAAGTTCACACTTAACTTTTCTTATGTTTCTTTTGAAACAGCCAACAGAATTTGAAACAGTATCTACAATGTAAGGTAAGTAATTGTTGAACACACTTGACTCCACTCTGTAAATGGCTAAAAAGTCACATCTTATAAACGCATTTCCAGTAAAATGATTGTCCGCAAAGATGCAGTAACCATAGAATAAAATCCTAGGAGAAGTCTGGGAGGCCTCGGAAATGAACTCATCACTCTGTGACAAAGACACAGAAATTCCAAGCGCGTATTTGGAATGCGTGGGTTTCATGATGTCTCCTGTGTAAGGTAAGATGCGGAAGGAAGACGAATGTTAGCAGAGCATGCCAGACCACTCTGTAGTGCTTATTCTTTATTTTGGGGGGTATTCACTGGAATTATAGGCTACAGTTCTTTTTTAAATTAAATTTTCAGGGGAGCCTGGTTGGCTCAGTCAGTTAAATGTCCGACTCTTGATTTCGGTGCAGGTCATGATCTCAGGGTCTTGAGACAGAGCCCGGTGTCGGGCTCTGTGCTGAGCGTGGAACCTGTTCTCTCTCTCTCTCTCCAAAAAAAAAAAAATTAAATTTTCACTTATTTCTTTATTACTATTATTATTTTTAAAAGATTTTATGTTTAAGTAATCTCCACACACAACATGGGGCTCAGACTCATGACCCTGAGATCAAGAATTGCATGCTCTACCAACTGACTCAACTGAGTCAGCCAGGTGCCCCTAATTGGTTGATTATTTTTAAATGGAAGATGGAGGAGGAATGCAGGGAGAACAGGGGCCAGCAAAAATAAAACAAACCAAACCCCAAACTGAAAGGCAAACAAAACAATCCAGGCTCTTCCCCCACCCTGTTTTTCACATTCCCATATACAGCCTATATTTAATGGTCGAAACTTACGTATAGTCCCCAACCCCTCCTGAAGTCTCCTCATCAATGAATACAGTGCTGCCCTTTTCCCTATTCTGTCAGGACTCTAGTCTTTTGTTTAAGGGCCTGGCAAGCTCATTCCCAATGCCCTGGCACTTGTGGGTGGACACAGTGATGGAGCATGCATTTGGCAGTGTGATGCTGGCATCTTCCCCAGTTCGTCATCCCACCAGTCAGATATGAGGCTGGGTTTATTTGTTTATTTTAAAAGATTTTATTATTTGTTTGAGAGAGCAAGAGAGTGCATGAATGGGAGTGGAGGCAGAGAGAGGGAGAAGCAGACTCCCCACTGAGCTGGGAGCCTGACTCAGGGCTGATCCCAGGACCCCGAGATCACGACTTGAGCCCAAGGCAGACACTTAACTGACTGAGCCACCCAGGTGTCCCTGAGGCTGGGTTTAAAACAAATTATGCAATGATATGCTCATTAACTTGAAACCTGGAAATAATAGTGTTCTAGACCAGGAAGCTCTCAGTTTAAAAAGTTTTATGCCCAGATCTGGTTGCCAAATGGTGCCAGACCAACATAGCTTTGACTAGCATGACTGCCTTGGACCCAGTTCTGGCTTTATTGGTGCAAGATTGGGTAATAGAATTCACTCTCTGTGTTGCTGAGAATGTGGGAAGGGATCCAAAGTTCCTAGCTCTGTGTCTGACACAGAATAAGATATTCATAAAAGAGTAATCTCATCATTGCTCCTAAGGATGATGATCTTAATGGATCTCAGTTCAGAAACAAAATAAAGATCAGTGGACAGGCTCCTGGGGTGGGATGTGCAAAATGTCCTAAAAGAGTTTTCAAAGGGAATCAGGTAGAAAACAGGCATTGCAGGTAGTGGATTTCACCTCAGTGTAAGAAAGAACTTTCCAATGATTCAATTGGCTTAAAAACATTTTTAAAAATGACCATCCCATCTGTCAGGGGTGGCAGAGAGAGGATAATTGGATTATACTGGGGTGGAACAGATCAGTGTCTCTTAAACCTGGTTGCATGAAATGGAATCACCTGAGAAACTTTAAATATCCATGTCATACAAATATGTGAGACACGTCTTCCAGCACAAACACAAGCATGCCATTTGCAAGTGTAATTTCTGGTATTTGTTAGAAATGAGACCCTTTGGGGATGCCTGGGTGACTCAGTTGGTTAAGCGTCTGCTTTTGGCTCAGGTCATGGTCCCAGGGTCCTGGGATCAAGCCCCGCATTGGGCTCCCTGCTCAGCGGAGAGTCTGCTTCTCCCTCTCCCTCTGCCCCCTCCCCCCGTGCTCTCTCTCTTTCAAATAAACAAATAAACAAATAAATAAATAATTGAAATCTTAAAAAAAAAAAGAAATGAGACACTTTGACTAGGTAATACCAAAACAAGTCCACATAAGAGCAAAACTGTTTGCTTTTTGGATTGTTTCCTGTGAAACTCAGTAAATCACTCTGTGTCTCCCTTTTCCAAACAACATTCTGATGTGGGAGATATCTCATGAAAATAAATATTAAGGCCAGTCACAAGGGAAGCAGATGCAGAACCATAACACGGAGGGTATCCCCAAGCCAGGGTTCTGGTTCAAATTATTTTTTCCTTAAATAAATGATATTGTAACAACAGCTACTGTTTATATAAGACATTATTCTGTTCCTAAATTGCTGGCTGATTTTTCCTAAACTCTCTGACACAAGTTTTACTTCTCTGAATGGGGGATGGAGGAGTTGAACCAACTCCGGACTGGTCATTCCACATACACACGGGAGCCTGATGGGGTCTCTGGATGGGTTGTGGGGACCCATGATAATTGGGACTTGTGGGGACCATGGCAAAACGGAGGGCACAGACTATTCTAAAGAGGGGTACCACTCTTTGACCCTTGTTAACTGTGGCCTTGTGGAAATGCAGATTTAGTTTTATCATAGCTTTTGATTTTTCAAGATAACCTAGTAATGCCAGCATTCCAAAATGTGGAAGTGGCCATTTCAAATATTATTTTGCAGCTCCAGGCGGAGAATCCTGGAGGTGAGATGTGGCTTATGGGTCACTGGCTTCTTCCATCTGGACTGGCTGATGGCCACAACTACCTTCTATCGTTCGCATTTTCCGGAAGTACTTCTCCAACTTTGGTGTGCATGAGAATCACCTGGAGAGCTGTTAGATCACAAACTTCTGGGTTCCACAGTAAGAGACTCCGACTGGCATTTCTTACCAGTTGAGACCCACACTGGCTATTGACCGTGCAAGCAGGGAGCGAGTCATAGTATGGCCCCCTTTGCCTTGGTTACTGTTGGGTATTCTTTTGATTAATCCAAGGAGTCTTCATCGCTCCTCTGCTTCTCCTGTTGTCTTTGCTCCGTCTCAAGATGACCCCTTAGGGAAGGTGGTAGCTGGTACTTTTGCATTAGGACAGGGAAGACGTACAGTACTGATGGGGTTAGATTCCGCCTTGTTAACTTGGCAGGAAATGCTCAATCTGTTTATTTATTATTACTGTTAAGCATTCTGTAAGCTTAAGGTGTACAGCATGTTGATTTGACACATTCACACAATTATATATATATATATATATATATAAAATCATGCAACATGATTACCACCACCGCATTAGCTAACATCTGTATCACATCACATAATTTTTATCATTTCTCTTGTGAGAGCTCTTAAGAATCCAGTTTTTTTAGCAATTTTGAAATACATAATACAGTATTGTTAGCTATAATTACAATACTGTACATTAGATCTCCAGAACTTATTCCTCTTCTAACCACAAGTTTGTACCCTGTGACCAGCATCTCCCCATCTCCCTTACCTCCCAGCCCTTAGTAACCACCATTCTACTCTCTGTCTCTATGAGCTAGTTTTGTTTTTCAGATTTCACATGTAAGTGATATCATATAGTATTTTGTCTTTTTCTATCTGATTTATCTCACTTAGCATAACCCATTCAAGGTCCATCCATGTTGTCTCAAATGGCAGGATTTCCTTTTTTCTCATGGCGGAGTAATATTCCATTGTGTGTGTGTGTGTGTGTGTGTGTGTGTATTTCCTTGTATTCCTTTGTATGTATATATATTGCATTGTATATATACATATCAGAGCTTTATCCATTCACTTATTGATAAACACTTAGATTGTTTCCATATCCCGGCCATTGTGAATAACACTGCAATGAGCATCAGAGGGCAGGTATCTCTTGGAGATCCCGCTTTCATTTCCTTTGGGTATATACTCAGAGGTGAGATTGCTGGATCATATGGTAGTTCTATTTTTAGTTTTTTGAGGAACCACCCTACTGATTTCCATAGTGGCTGCACCAATGTACGTTTCCCACCAACAGTCCACGCATGTTCTATTTTCTCCACGTCCTTACCAACACTTGTTATCTCTTGTCTTCTTGAGCCTAACCATTCTAACAGGTGTGAGGTGACATTTCACTGTGGTTTTGAATTTCATTTCCCTGATGATGAGTGGTGTAGAGCACCTCTTCATATACCTGTTAGCCATTTGGGTGTCTTTGGAAAAATGTCTATTCAGTTCCTCTGCCCATTTTTAAGATTGGATTGGTTTTTTGGTTGCTGTTGTTGTTATTGAGCTGTATAAATTCTTTATAGATTTTGAATATTAATGGGGTATCAGATATATAGTTTGCAAATATTTTCCCCCATTTTATAGGTTCCCTTTTCATTTTATTGATGGTTTCTTTTGTTGTGCAGAAACTCTTTAGTTTGACATAGTCTTGCTTGTTGCATTTGCTTTTCTTGCTTCTGCTCAATCCTGTTTAGAAGATAGGGTCACCCCTAAACACTTTGTGGACAACCAGCTTCATAAGTAAGTATATTCAATGATACATGGGTGATTACTCAGTGCCAGGGAATGTGCAAGGTATTTTATCTATGCTACCTTGAGTACTGACAACCTTTTCTGAGGTAGATATTCTCATTTCTAGTTCACTGAATTTCAGAGACATTAAATAACTCATCTTAGATCACACAGGCTCTAAATAGGCAGGAGAGAGATTTAAAGTATCACTTTCTGGGATACTTCCAAATTTATATGCATACATAGTAGTATAACTTGATATAGTAAAATTAATATAACATTAAAAATCAGACCTTGCCTTGTAAAGGATGTAAAGTGATTAACGAAAATGTAA